CACTATCGTGACTATGTCAGAGTAGCAACTATTTAGTTCTGTGTTATTTGTCATGTTTGTGGTAGTTTATACTAATAGAACGGCTTTGGCTGCGTTGACCGACTGTACTTAAATCAAACATTGTAGATGCTCTGAACCAAATTGCTTATTTTAATGCTTTAAAATACCGACTTGTTTAATTCATCAGTATCGATGTTCCTTTTTACAAGGTAGAGTCATCAATTTCATACCGATTTCTGCACTTTGTGTGGCGTTATTCTCAATGTGAGTAAAGAACAAGATGATGCGCCTTATCTCGCGTCACTTGAAACTGAAATAACGCGCAGATCCGAAGTGACAGTTACAAATGGATGCGAGAAATACCGCGTGAAAATTGTCGTTTTGATTTGTTTCAGCAATTTGGTGGGGCGATTGGTGGACACTTCAGCCGTAATTGATCGTCTATTTACATAAATTGATGGGGAGTTTCATACACACATACGAATGCTTCATTGCAATACTGCAAGATGTGAAGATTGAAGGGAGAACGCTTAAGAAATATTCAGAGAATGGTGTTTTTTTTATCTGTGGTTTTCATTCGCCATGTCAGATAATCAATACGTGTTGAGTACATCACCTTTTCGTATGATTTTGCAGATAGACGTTTCTCGTTTTGGTTCTGTATTTAATGCAAAAAGTACTAAAACACTCAATGAGTATGCACTTAGTTCATCTGTCCTCCCAATCATAGTGCATGTTTTGTTAGCCACGCCTGTATGCACAAAGATCGATTGACGCATCCCGCACCAGCATTGGAGTAAAATGTACAATTATTCATTAAATCTGTATTATGGTTGTGAATTCAGTCTTTTCAGAGGGCCTTTTTCAGATATGTTATGGTCTGCGTAAAAATGCGATCCATTAAAAAACGTTAGAAACTTTATTTCAAGGGGCTAAGTCTATGCACAGTATGCCAACTTCTAACTTCCATAATGCGCAGTTTTATGAGCTACAAGCGGGAATTATTGGGGGGGGGGCATTCTGTAGCACAAGGACATTGACTCTTCAGACATTATGACAAATTCACAATTGATGAAGAGTCTGTGAAAAGAATAGGAAGTGCATGGCATGTCTAGGTATGGAGTCGTAATATTAGATACCATTCGCTCCACTGATACGAGGAAAGAAATATAGGATAAATGCGTTCATTCATTTTGGACAAAAATCACCGATTCCGTAATCATCCTCGAGTTTCCGCCGAAGGAAAGTGATATTGGCGAAGATGCAAAAAGAAATAAAGAGAAATCAATGAAGGCTGTGACAGTGAAGACGGGCTTATACCCGGAAGGCAGACATCTACGACGTGTACGATATAATTTTGGAACGATATTAACGCAGTGGGAATGATTTCACTTATGGGCTCGCGTATTTTGACTGAAAGAGAGGCAGTCTGCTCGTTTAAGCTCGACTTTTTTTCCCTTCTCTTGCAAATTCAGTCTAGTTTTTTTGTAAGCCGTTTGAATGGTAACAATGCAAGGCAGCCGTTCAACTCGCGTTCGATGAAATCAATCTGTCCATGTTGTATGCAGCAAGATACAGTCGCTCGCACGTTCGTGAACACAGCGGCTCGACGAGGTAACACTACGCCGAAAATGCCGGCCGCAAGGTCTGAGTATAAGAGCCCCCAGGTGGCAGCGGGACTATGAAATGTCGCTTGAATGAAACCGCCGATTATTATGTGTCGATTTGTTGTGTTGTCTGGGTGTCGAGTCATACTTTCCAAACGACCCACTCTCATGTCAATCAAAAGGTAAAATGGTTTTTAAAACAGAGAGAGAATGAGAGTACGGGGGGGGGGGGAATGAGAGAGAGAGAGAGAGAGAATGGAAGGGTTGCTTTACGCACCACGGTAAGCTATGTGCATTTACTTATACATCTCGACAATAATATTAGGAATACTCCTCGTTTTTGTGTGTGTGTGTTATACATAGTAGTTTTCTAGGAAAATGTGGAAGGAGCGTCATAAATAATAAACATTAACAAATGTTCATAAAATGACAATCTGACCTGCAGTTGGGCTGCAAAATCAAAATATTATCCACATTTTCAAATACACGAACACATGTTCCAATTCACTGATGCTCTAAAGTCTAATATGAAACCATGTTTCCCTTCTTAGGGCGAACATCCCTGTTGTCATAAATTCGACTAATTTGAACGTTATTCCTCTGGCTACAGACCATTACGATATTGCCTATCTCTCTGTATACTTTCTCAATCTTTCTTTACTTCGTTCATTTATTTATTCATACATTCATCGATTCCAAGTGCCATGTGCTTTAGTCACAGACCTACATATACGAGAGCTGAAGTAGATGGTCAAAGCAAAAGCAAGGTAGGAAATAGATGCGGAAAGCAAACGACATTACTACCCATACCAAACCTAAACACACTCTTTCTCTTCCTCTCCTCACTCCCATTCTATCATCAGCCTCGCGCTCATTGACGATCTGGGATGACGACCTGGGATGTAAGCTACTCCACATTCGGTCGACCACAGCCCCGCCCCAAGCCAAATCATCAAGGAGCCCGTTCATGATGTCGCCCGCATGCACGGCGAGGAAGAAGGCGAGCGCATGCATGGACCCTGTGGTAAGGGTATGACTAAACTCTGATAAGGGCATACGAAGACAGGAAGAAGGAAAGGAAGGAGGGGAAGTTTAAAGAGACAGTTGAGTTCTGGAAAAGAAAGAAGAAAAAAATTGTAAGCTTTCTCATTTTGTTGTCATGTTAGTTGGAAGAAAATTATAGTAGAAATATCCTCTGAAAAGGTTGGCTCTTGGAATGCGCTCATTATTTCAAAATAATGATGAGAAATAGCTGAAAAGTTGTATGCAAACATTCAAGTCAAATGAATATGTAGTCCCATTAACCTATTTCTGTGTGCGGTACATGTGATTTGTTTAGCAAGAGTGAGTCATCTTTCTTAGTTTGAACATTCCAGAACCTTACAGTATACATTAAGTCTTAGGTAATAATTATAATCAACCTTCCAAATTGCGTCTAGTTTCGTTTAATGACCAGTGATCAACTTTAGCTTTAACTTTAAGGGGAGCCCTAATTTGGTTGTTGTCACTGATTCAGGAGGACTTTGAAAACGTCACTACTCGACGAATCTCTCGATTCATTCGAGTGAAGCATGCATACCCACAGGGCGACAAACTCGATTTTGTAATAACATCTCTCTACTATTTCTATCCACTGAACACGGCGTGGAGGAGTAGCTAGGGAGGTACTCAATGACGATTTTAAAGGCCGTCATCGACCGATTGGCTCGGCGAAATTCGACATCGACCTGGAAGTAGAATACTACGCATTAAAAAACTCCTCTTTGAATTATTTTATGTGGTTAATTATCTGTCTTTACGCAACCGTTTTACAAACGTAACGCATTATTATCCTTTTTAGTATACATGACTTATAGGTTTGAATCAGATCTTTGTGTGCTGTATAATTTTGTTTCTGGCACTGTACATATTCAGATGATAGAGATAGTCCCATCACGACTTCGCCTGGCTTTGAAAATTAATGAACAAGGTCGCGTATCTTTTGTTATTAAAATCGTCGACGTTATTTTTCGAAGGGCCGTGCGCGCCCACGCACACGCTCACGCACACACACACACACGCGCGCGCGCACACGCACACTCACACACACAAACATGCACACATTTACAGAGATGTGGAAGCAGAAAAAGAGATAGGAGGGGAGAGGGGTGAATAATCCTAATATTGAATGTTGAAAGGTTCTGCAATTCATATACCTGAATGCATCATTATCTTCATTTCGTGTTAGAAATAGAAACATGGAAACATGAAATCAGATTGCGCATTCCTCCCTCAGATTCCCCCATCCAATTATTCCAGTGAACCTGTTTGTCGCTCCATAAATAACAGAATGATGTACTTGTCAAACATTGATCTAATAATGTTATAAATAGCACAAGCAGACTCATCTCTATCTGGCAATTTTTTCCTACTTTTTAGAGTGAATGGTTGAAATCTAAAATCGTTCTCTCGTTCTACAGTTTCGCGCTAAAGAAAATACGGTAACGAAGACATCCCGCTATGAATCTGAATACGAATGCACATCAGAGGAGATAGCTGGATGACGCATCCCTGGGAGTAGTACCAGGATTCTGTTTGTATTAGCTATTATTAGGTTTCATCCTATAGAGTCCAAATTGACCAGAAAATTAAGGATTCCTGCATGCAAGCGGGGTATCTTATAGTGTTTACTGGTGTCAACTTTCAAATGCGGATACTTGATATGTTTCAAAATCACACTTGGCCAATTACTATCATTGATTCTATTTCGGCTCGGGAGCCTCCCTTTCAGATGAAGTCATGTGATAATCATCAAAACAAGATCTTAAATGAATTTGTGAGGACTTGCCGGTAAAAACGTATTTATCTGACTTATCTTTAGAATTGAAGATCAAGGTTGTTTATTCATAGAATAGTTGCTAGAGTAAGCTTGGATCAATGTTCCATTAAGGGTTTCAAATCAGTCTACCGGGGATTCATTGCACGCACAATTAAGTATTCCATTTGGGGATCAAAATTACCCTAAAATGTTATAATGTATAGTGTCGCATTGATTATTTTTGATCAAAGGTAAGAATATTTCTGCAGTGACTAATGATTACTTATAACTTTCTGACTAAAAACAGAATATTGTGTTCCCATTTGCATCATTACGAATAAAACATTGCACTAAGCTACAGGATGCAATGTTAAACCCCTAAAGTGATTAAAGGTACAAATGTGAACATAAAACACTATTTTTGTAACCTCTAAGAGTATAGGTCGCAGCTATGCTCCATACATGTCCAATACCTGGTCGAATTTTCAGTATACTAAGGATTTTCTTTAAAGGAGCGATCCCTGTCTTTTCGTTCTGGACGATTCATTCAACTTTTAGATCGGTCTGGGTCAGTCCAATCATAAGCCTAAACTCACCATTGATATAATTCCGATGGTTGACATTGGGTACCTGGTCCCGGTCCCCTGGTCTCTCCATCACTTCGTGGTCCGCCTTGCAGAATAGACCGTCTTCCCTGAGCGCAAACTCGTCCCCGGGAATGAGTTGCCTGCTGCAAGCCACGCAACGAAAACAGTCTATGTGGTAGATCTTATTCCGCGCTCGCATCACGAAGTCATTCTTAGTGAATCCTTGGGAACACTTCGCACACTTCGTTCCAAATAACCTAAGACAAAGACAAAACAGAGAATTAAAAACATGAAATTCATCAATTATTATAAGACATGACGAAAGAGAAATATGAAATTAACGTAATGATTAGAAAAAAGTTAGTTGGGGTCAGCACGTCAATGCCAAATGAACTACATAAAATTAGGCTCTTATTGTACGATAAAAATAAAGTCAAAAGCTGACTACTTGTAATAATGTTTTCACGAAGAAGAACCCCAATTGATATTTGTTTAATTACTTACAAATAAGGTTCTATATTCTTTGCAGAATGAGTCATGAGTTTACAAATATCGATTAATTGGAAACGGTGTTTTTTTGTAATGGTTCATCATAATTGTTGGGACAAGATACAAAACCCCTCCACTTTGTAAATGATGTACGGATATCTAGAAGTGCTACAAATTAATAATGCAAACCCTATGACATTATTGACTCGTCCATAACTATGAGTCTCTATAGTGGCTGTTTACAAAATGGGATGGTACATGACACCATTCATATTAATAACGCAGCAATATACCATTAGGACGACAGTGTAAGTCGAAAATAACATGCGATCAATAATTATTAGTAGCGTTATTATAATTGATAAGGAACCAGTCGTACATAATACGTGGCTATGATGTCTGTCCTTGACAACATTTCATCAGAACTAATTTTCTCACTTTCAAACAACCAATGTCGCTACATTCAAGTACCCATGAATGAAAGCGGCAGACAATAGGACTTAATTAAAAGCTGGGCGTGCAAGGTATAATTACAACCATAGAGCCTTTTGAATGAGATGTTTTTTTTTAAGTATGTGAGTATACAAATTTAATCAACTGTATATGGAACGAGGTCGGCATATAGAAAGTTTGCTTTCCAGCAGGTGACTGTGTTCAATGGTACTTCAGCAGAATTAGGGTAGCCAACTTGGTCATGTTGGGGTAGGTAAATTAATTTACTGTGAAAAAGAACAGGTACAATATGTTATTATGCTTATAACTCTCCATGCCGACAACATCATTAAATATCCCTCAAAAGGAGAGGGAGCGATTGCCCCCCCCCCCCCCGACTCATTTGCTAACTATTGTAGAATGGAGAGGGATATGAGAAGCGAGTATAGATCACTTGTATAGAAAGACCACCTTCTATAAAGACAACATTTATCGGTGCCTTTAAACAGACTTTGACATTGGTGCATGTGTTACAGGAACCTGTACTTAAACACTACCTGCTTATAAAGATCACTTTTCTTGCATTCCTTGAGTGGTTTTTATAGACAGGTTTCATTGTACTTCTATAGTTCAGAAAACTCATCCGAAAGTAAAAGAGCCCTTTATTCATGTGAGCTGTATTATGAATCTTACAGAAAGATCAGTAACTTTATTATCAACCTTTTTTCGGCTAGGAAACTTTGAATACCTAGAAATCAGCTTGTTAGCCGATCTTGAATAGGCCTACTTTATGGAATACATAAACAAACATGCAATAAACAAAATAATACCTAAGACAAGGTATCGAATTTATTTCACTTGTATTTTTATACCATGACAGTGGCAGCAGGAACTGATGGTAACTAGATTTTTCGGAATAAATGTGTTTTCTCATGAAAGGTCTGGAATCTGAAGACTAGATGAAATGCATGCAGGCATACAGGTGAGTTAATTAGCAAGGTCTTGGCATTGTCAGATAGGTGCGAGATTGGGTTGCCACGCCGATCGCCTGCAATCGGACGCAATTAGATGTCCGCGAATTGAAATCAAGCGGCGAATATCCACTTATCACCTTGGTAATGAGAAGGTAAGCCTTGATCTCGACCAAGCAAAGGCCTCCCTCGAGATGGAGGATGAAAGAGAACAAGAGGATGAAGGGGAGATGGAAGAGAGGGAGTAGGAAGAAGACACGGATCAGGCATTGATCGGCTTTGTGTGGAATTCACGAGCTTATTACATCCCGGTGCATCACCCAAGGCTTGTACAGACGATTTTGCGCGCGAGGTTTAATTTTCTGTCGTCTGCTTGATACCAGAGGTTTGCGCAGGCGACGATTTCTTCGTGTGTATTTAGCTAAAGGAAAAGGATGGAGAAAGATGTGGTCTGCTTGAGGAAGACTTTGCCTCGCTCCCTCGGTGTTCCACATGGGCTAATCAATCCATCTCGGCTGGATTACTCCTCCATGGAAACGATCCAGAGGAAAGATGACGGAAAGGAAAGGGAGACAGAGGGGAAAGAAAATCAAATGAATTGCTTTCACGCCTTCCCCCTGCTGCTCCTGCCAGTTAGAAGTCGGTGAAAAACCCGGTCAACATTTGCCTTCATTTCGTTCTATGAAAATCACGTAGGTCTTTTCACTGGAGCTCAAAATCTCCGTGACTTATCGCGGGCTAGGAGAATAAATGCGACCAGCCCGTGCTCACGTCACGAACTCATCCCATTGAGATATCCCCGTACATACAGTAGAGGAAACCCCGTGTATCAATGGATTGAGCGGGGTTCAGCGCCCTCGCTCCCGGGACTCCGGCCCGCTCGCCTTTCTCGACAATTCGGCTAAACAAATACTCGAGCTATTTATGCACAAAACGCTTGCCATTATTGTAGCTCATTTTTAGGTCAGAACTACGTCCCACAAGTCCGTCTTTCTTTTGAATAGTTTGTGGGTTTTATCGACGTTGCTCTGATTAGATTGTTACAATCTTTGGGCCGCCATTTACGAGCTTTTTCTCTCATGTCCCAGTGAAATACGGAGACAGGGAGAAGGGAAGAAAGAATGACACCTTGGAAACCTTTGAGGGGAAAGGTCAGAGAGTAAAAGTTGAAGAAGTGCAACACATTGAAGCTAAGCAGCTAAGGGAGTATGGAAAACGCGCCATTTCTTAACCCTTACGCGACGAAAGAACTAGAATAATGTATTGCTCTCTCTAGAACAGGATTGCAAGTTGCATTTTTAGTTACATGTTTCAAACCGACCATGTACATGTCCATGAGTGTATATCCTTACTTTCTTAATTTCTATTTCACCTAGAGTTGGTCTATTATATCAATTCAATTCACTAAACATTTTTTCCTTCACATAAACAAAATTAACATAATTGTCATAAAATATATATTTACAATTTTATGTACGAAGGAGGCGAAATTCCCTAAAAGCACAGAGCTTGTGGTGGGGTCGCCAATCATAATCTATATCAAATACCTATAAAATAAAGAGATAGAGGAGAAGGGGAACAAAGAAGACAAAAGTCAAACAAAACTGAAGGTAAATGTATATAAAATATATACATTAAAAAGAAAACAAATATATATATAGCCTATAAAATGTTCTACGAATTTTATTTTTCAAAAATTATTTCTTCGTAAATTATAGTTAGATGGAATGGCATATTTTATTATAATAATACAAATTGTTCCAGAGTTTGGGACCAGTAAAACTTTTTAATAATAAGTTGAAACGAGACTGTTCTCTGTATGAGAATATTAATGTTTCTTTCAGACTTTGTGGGATAGTTACGTATATTAAGATTAAAATCAAATATATTACAAAATTGTTAGGGGATATAATTAAATATACATTTATACATGCAGATTTACTGTTCGTATTCGACAATATACCATCAAATTTTAAGAGTCTCAATTCTTGATACAAAGGTCTATATTTTCTTGCAAAGGACCACTTGGGATAACGTACTAAAATAGATTTCAATTCTTAAGGTCATATTAAAATTAATTACAGTCAATTATGAATTAGATACAGTTGACCATACAGCCGGGCCTGTGGTACGACTAGCTATTATATCTGCATTACTGATAATATCATCCATGCTAATATTAAGCTATAAGAGAATGACCACCAATGCGTGGTTTACAGTTACTAGCTATTGATGTTTTCCCACTAAAGTAAGCTAAATTTGAATGGTGTGTACATAATTATCAAATTTCTCGCCAAACCTTCAAATGTGATCCTCTTTTTAATCAAGTTCCGTTCAGAAAACACAAGAATAGCTTTTCAATACCAATTAAATCGACTAATTAATTAGGCGCAATACGTGGAAGCCTTGCCATGTTTAATTAAGTTCAATGAAAGCAGGTTATAACCTTGGCATTCCTCCTAATCCTCTGGATTAAAGAATATAATTTCACAGCGACAGATCCCGAACAAGACCATCACACTATGACCAGAGGTCTGGTAACAATAGCAGAAAATTACAGTGTTTCATTGTGTGATTAACTTATTTGCCAATATAAATCTGTCTATATAGCCACCAGCAAAAAATTACGATTGTTTAACCTTCATGTGTTTAAGGATTAACAAACTGCTGTCAATCGGATATATTAATTCATTTTTATTTCATTAATTTGGTATTACGTCCTTTCAAGGAAGAGGGCGATGTGGGACGCGAATAGAGATTGATTCTAAAATCTACCATGGGCATTATCAAATATTTGGAACGGAAATGGTTCCAAAGTATTTTAAAATATAACCGGTGTACATCTACTGGAGTCCAAACTTAAGTTAAATTGAATTCTTAACGTCCTCGCTGATTTGTGTGGAATTAAATTAAACAAAATCACTACTTTCTCCCAAGCAAAGGCCAAGCATTTTATTAGTTTATGTAATGTATTCGGTATATACTGCCTATGTCTCACATTTTATTTCGTGTCAGGTAAATTATTGATTGATTTAACACCGTCCATTTCCGTTACATAATAGATCTCATCAAGCTATGCCCAATTACATTGATTATCACTTCAATAAATAAGAAGAGGGTTCATTCACAAAGAAAATTGTGTAATAATGAATAAAAAGAATAGTTTTATAGGCCTAATTCATGTATTGCTAAAGTCATGTTATGTAGAGTGACTATATTGTCAAATGAATATCTCTAAATAATTATCTGGAAAATAACAAGACAATCTTTCTCACACACCACTTGTATGCCCTTATCTAACCAAAGGCAGATTTGGGGGATACTTCAGACGACCATACGATTTTGGTTGACTCATTTCTGTGCTATGTGCCATACAATAGGACTCGTCTAGAACTCGGATACCTTGTAATGAATGAAGGAGAGAATAAAGCAGAGGGTTCTGTCAACAACACTTGACTGGTTATGGAGGGAAAACGGCAAGTGCCCTATAATAAGCATTTGATCTCTACGATACCAATTGTGGTCTAAGCGATACAGATTGTATCAAGTGCTTTCCTCTAGTCGTCTGCAAACTTGCATGCAACCAAATATGTACGATGACTTTTTAATACAAAAATGCTCGACGAGACGAAAATCTAAAAAGGTGTTTTTCATTTTCTTTTTTTTTTATTTGGAGACCAAGAACGAACCTTGTCGCAGGCCTATAGTTACACTAAATGTATTTCACTAAAGAAAATTAAACATAAGTTTTGATAATTTACGAAATCTCTCTCCAATGTTTGAACGATAGTTAAAAATGGCTTTTGAAGCATACAATGTTTAATGTTGTCAACAGTAAATCTTTGATGGAAAATTCTTTTGTGGTGTTATAGTTTTAATGTAGTCTGTGCATGAACTTAAATAGAGAACAAAACGGGTGCCAATATACGAGAAATTTCTTGACTTTTCTCTCTCTTGGAAACATATGACAAGCATTATAAGAATTATTTTTATGATAGTAATAGTATCGAAATTCAATATTGAGATATTACTATACAATAATGAGCATAATTATAATTATGAAGCATAAAACCATTTATTTCTGGAGAAAAAAAACTTTCGAGTAACTTTTCATTTGAATGTCAACACAGAATTTATCATCATCCTGATTATTATTATTATCATTATCATTCACATTATTTTTATATTATTATTATCATTATTATTATTATTATTATTATAATCATTATTCCTTTTAAAGGTGACATTACGATAATAACCATAACTTTTGTACTGTAATAAAAAGTTAAGAATACTAAGAATAAAGGAGTGATTGAATTTATCTTTACATACCAGGGCCAAATTAAATTAGAATTCTTTATCGACCCCTTCCTCCACACCATCACTTTCTCTGGGAGCGTGTTTGGGGTGTATGTTTATCCCCCCTCCTGCTCTTTATTTTGCCAACTGTCGCTATCCATATCCCGCGTATGCTGCTAACCTCGCCTCTTCTTAGCCTGCGGTACACACAATACCAATGGCCAAACCACGAGGAAGAAAAAAGCGCTATACATCTGTTCGATTTTCAGCCAAGTCAAAAGGTATACCTCGTCTTTTTCTACGCGGCCCGCCGGTCGTCTGTCGTTCTACGGGTGGTAGGGTACATATACAATCATACACACACACACACGCACACACATGACGATGTACTTTATTACGCGGCGGAAAACAGAAGAAAACTAATGAGCCCCGCATAAGGAGGGCGCAGAAAGTCTAATTTGGCGGCTGTGCCTGTGTGATGATAAACCAATGACCCAATCTGTCATTCTAACACAACGGGAGAAATAGACACGGGTGGTAGAACTAGGGTCCACTTATGCCCCCTTCTTACCTCATCTCAACCCTCCTCTCGCAATCAATATTCCGGGTGTCACATTCAGGAAGGGATCGAATTACCGAAGTTTTAAGATGCTCATGTTATGATTAAAAAGGGCTATATCTTATGAAGAAAGAAAGTAATTGACGAGACGTAATTTTTTCTTAAACCTGTTTGTAACCAATACAATAAGGAGGCGTGGCATCGCTTATATCTATCATAAAACATAATTTGATAGTTTAGTGATGGTTTATAGTATAGTTTTAACGCTGATTTGTTCATCTTATTCCTGTTCCACTATTTTCTGAGAACATTATTGAAACACTTAAATATTTTGTATGTCAATATGTATTTAAGTATATTGCATAATAAGTATAGATTTTACATGAAATCAATATGTCTATTTATGCAACGATATATTCATAATGAATATAGGAATACACAGCCGTGTATTTAATGTCCCTGATGTATATCTTTAATATTTCAGTACAAGAAATAATGAATTAGATTTCTTTTCTAGTATTGTCATTAACCCAATACACACAACAATTTTTATTTGAATCATATCACGTGGACACAAATTCCTTTACTCCTCAAAATGCGTAGGAAAAAAACATTACAACTTGAATTTAAAGTTCAGAAAAAAATTACATTTAGTAACTCATCGATTGATATTCAATTAGTATATTATAGCCTGATATAGGCCTCCTTATGAAATGTATGAACGTTTCAATAAATGAGTGTTAAGTGGAATAAGATGCGGACAAGGTCTTTTCCCTCTCGAGATACTTTGAGACAAAATAAGTTTTATAAACTCATTTCAAATCCTGACTGCCTGTTTGATCTTATAATTTCCAAGAGAGAGCTTATTCATGTTGTTAAAAATATAGTAATAATCATTATTAGTTTTATATGTAAATGGAAAAGGAATAGGTCTATCGTTAGAAACTTGATAATGATTAAAAAAAGGTCGAGAGAAAGAAGTTCTATGACACTTTCAAAATGTCCAAAGTAATTTTTTGTGTAGGCTACTTTTTTTTTAACTACACAAACATACCTTCTTGAAATATGACGCACATAGTTATTGAGAAAGAGATGTACGGATGTCATTTTTAAGGACTGAAACTCATCTACAAAGATAGAGATTAAATTGTAAATTTCTAACAAGTTTAGAGAGTGGTTAAGATGAGGAGGAACAAAAAAGTAGCAACTGAAAGATAGTTACAAATTTATGATAATAGTAAAGTCATGTTTATAAGATGCAACAAGAAGCAATGAGAGATGTCAACCAGTTTCAAATACATATCAGATGTCAGTGAAACTACAAAAAGTAGCAAATGTACAGATTATATCAGTTATCACGAATTTCGATGGAAGAAAGCTGATTAAACTCACCTGAGATAGTCCCTTTTGCAGTAGGGTTTGCCGTCCCGTACGAAGCACGTACACGTCTCGTCAAGGTACGTACAGCAGTCGGCGCACTTGAGGCATGCAGCATGCCACTCCAGGTCGGGTGCTACCCGCAAGATGTACTGGTCCTGTATGCTCCCACCGCAGCCTACGCACAGCGAGGCTCGCCGCTTGCAGCTCACTACAAGAAAGGGTGTGATTGAGGGAGAAAAAACAGGAGATTTAGGCCTCAAGATTAGTCAATAGAAAAACACCATTGTAACGAAGATGACGTAGAATATGTGTGAATATCATTTTCTGTATCGACTATAGCAGAGTAGGGTCATTTACAAAATGTTAGCACTTTTTAAAACTTTTTGAACTAGTCTACCCGAAAAGTTTGAAGTTGGATTTGGGCACCGTTAGATCCATAGATGTGATAAACGTCTTCCTGACTTGAACGGCCGGCCATTGACAAGGAAAATAACATACTGTACTATAGCCTGAATTTTGGGTGAAATTTTAGCATACATTTTATTTGAAAAGTCCCAATATTGTACCCCAAATTTTTGTAATTGGTCTGGGGGTAAACTCGTGAAAACGTATACAACTACATTTCACACATAAGATTTGAGTATATAACAATATGTTAAATATTTATAAACAAAACTTTAACCTTTAAATTTTCTATTCCATTACTTTAGGCCCACCGTTATTTCCATATTTCCGTTTCTGATGTCCGAAACTGACATCCAAAAATAAGAAACATATAATACTTAATATAAACTCAGATGCAAACTTAATATAAGTTTTGTTGATGACATTTTTTTTGTGGAAAATAATTAAATACATTTAAATTATATTTCCAAAATTATATGATCTCATTAGCATCATCAACATTATTATTATTAAGATTTTCGTAAATGATAAATAAGCAGTTTGAGGAGGGAAATTTTGAATGACTTGAGTACTCTTTATATCTGATCAATGTTAACAAGATATAGCTATACAATTATAGAAATACGGCGTGCTTCTCTCAAAGGGATGTACAAATGCAACATTTCCATTCTTTCCTGGTTCTTTACAGGGGACATTTCAAAAACGAATGAGGATTAATGAAACGAATTCTGTTTTGTTCGATTAATGAATTAAACAAATCATCGATTTCTTTAACCCTTGCGCAAACTTTATCTGAAAGAGTAATAAGTACATACACAACTAATACAAATGACTAAATATTGGTTTCGTATTATTAGAATCAATTGATTTTCACCACATCAATTATCTAATTGGTCTGGCGTAAAGTAGAAGAGGAGTAACAAACTCGGAAAAAATTGAGAAATATATGACTCAGTACATGTAGAGCTGTCGTTAAAAATGCATTTAATGAGAGTATTATCACGCTCCAGTCCACCATTGTCATAAAGTAAGTTCATTATCATGATTATGATAATGAGATGATGCAGTACCAGTGTATTAAGCCCCATGCTCTCGCCTTATCTACTTTAATAATCGCTTCTCTCTTGTACAAACAGAACTGATGTGCATGATATGAGAAATCAAATAATGCCCGTGCCATGACGACATCGCCAATTTTCCTATGGATCCCCCTGAATTGGAATTATGAAATTTGTTATAAAATGGCATCGCATTTATGATCATACTGCTTGAAGAGTACTGACAAAAAATATAATCTTTTAAATTATTCACGTTTATTGAATGAGAGATTGACAAACTTTTACTATGGTTTTATCCACTAAGTTAAAACCTAAAACCTATACACATAACAGAAGATTTCATCTATATTCAACTTACATCAGGCTTTTTTGATTCTCAATAAACTCTTTTTCTTATGTGTTCACGTAAATACATGATCACGATTGCGCTGCAAATTTGTTATCATTTTCTGTCTAAACATTTAATTGCTTATACCTTTTCATTGTAACTAATCTCGATATTACCAACCACGCTAGAACGGATTAATAAGTACAAAAACTGCAATAACATACTACCATTGAACATAGAAGATATCGTGTATTCCCACAGTTTTGCTAATTAGTATGCAGAATGATAAATATTGGAGTTGAACGTTATTTTCGGGAAAGAAGAAGTGACTTTTTTCCAGATTTATCTTTCTTCATATATGATTTTAAAGCTGCAAAAAAAATTTAAAAAGAAGAAGATTCCTTTAGCCATAATAGAAGTTAGAAGTTTGGAACAAAAATCCACGTAAAAAATTGGTATGCCATATCTGCGTACACGAGTGAGAGTGAGGAGAGGGGAGGAAGGAGTAAACTTCAAAACTTACGTTTCGTGATTTCCTCCATGGCATCAAATGGTAAAAATCTCCTTAGATCCAAAGAGGAGATTGTATTCCCTGAATCCAGTTTAGATGGGTGAGCGACTGGAGGGGAGAGCGAATGGATGAGCATTGGAACTTCTTCTTCTTCCCCTTCTCCGTTAGGGGCTCAAGTCTGTCTGGTCCACGGTACCGCAGCCGTCCAGCGACCGAGCAAGGGGTACAAACACACAGAGGAATAAAGTGAAAGTCTCTATATGTTTTGAGCCGAGAGGTGGTGGGTTAAATCCGTTTGAAGTGAAGACTCTCCAGAAACAAGGAGCCAATTACTGGTTGAGGGGAGATGCTATCACTAGAGTGGTTATATGGCGATCTGAGATGCGACTGATGAGGAAAGTGGTAGTGATGGTGGTGGTGGAGGAGATGGAGATTACAGCGGGAGATACAGCAAATCGTCCGGGTGCTCAGGTGGTTTCGTACGAGATGCTCGACAATCTATCCCCGCATCTGGCGGCCTACTTAACCCTTGAGCATCACCCTCATAAGTGACAGCACCTTCGCTCAAGCGGGTCCGTTTTCAATACTTTCCACCGCAAAACACATATACAACAGGCTCATTGGGTCAGACAATATTATATATACACACACACATACACCTCAATGCGACGAGTGTATAGAAAACACCGTTTAGCACGCACAGTGAGTTGAGGGTTATGTGTAGGAGGGGGTCGGTCCTTCCACCACTCTTCTCGAAAACGAAGTCATACGCCGCGCGCGTAGGTTCCATACACCAACGTACAAAATCACTTAGCTGACAGACGTTTCTGGTGAAAACCCTTTTGCGCGATTCGGGCGCTCATTGGCTAAATTCTTCGGCACGTGACCAGCCTACGGTCGTCGATTATTGGTGGTCGACGCTCCCGATATCATCGTCTTTCCAGCAATCGCCTGCCGTATGCTCAGATGAGATGGTCGTCCTCATTTGCATTTCCGATTTGTTCGGCAGAAACAACAATCAAAAACCTGTCCTAGTATAGAGAAAACAAAATTATTATTTATTTTTTACCGAAGAGAAATTACCATACCAAACTGTAGATTTAGAAACCACAATATTATGTGTTTTGATCGCTAAGCATTTTACATCATCTAGAGTGACTTACAATAAGGTTTTAACATTATACCTTGTTTTACAATAATCATGTAACTACGTGATTCAACAGAGGACAATATTTTGAAGAAGAAAAAATACAGAAAAATGCAATGTCGCTCTGATGAAAATTGTACGACCTCTTCAGTTAATTGAATTACCTTAATGCCTATATCCTTTTCAGGAGGTGACTACGATATCTTATGCAAAATTCAATGTACCGATTGAATTAACTGTTATGTCCTTCTACTAAGTCAATGATTGTGTACGTTTCCTTTTTCGGACTTGTTATTTTCAATCATTTTGCAAATCTCTTTTGAATGCTCCTAAATAGCTATCAACATTTAGGTGACGAATGTTGCACAGGATACAACAATTTTGTTTGTGAATGAACGTGCAAAATCTTCTCTTTTTTCACTCTCTTTCTCTTTCTCTCTCTCTCTCTCTCTCTCTCTTCAAAGCTTGGGTCGGAATCAAACCACCTCACACATAATTGTGTAGTGATTGGGACTCGAATATAAACCCCTTAATTGCCCATCAAATGGTTAATCTCGATCTAACGAGAAATGTAAACAAGCTTTTTCAGTTTTTAATCAAATTCTCACCCATTGTCGATCTGTTCACCACGATCTCCTCTCATTATTACGCAACGCAACACACGTGGAAGGGATGTATTCATATTGCATCGTTTTGAGGAAGAGAATTACTCTGTTTTCTTTCATAAAAGTTGTTAAATTTACGAGGCTCGTTATCGTAAGGACAAGGGGACTAGTATTCAATATAAATTTACGATCTTGCGATTTTTATTGTGTCTTCATGTATTTGTGTTGACGAGTTGGGTGGTTTCTTGTAACTGTTTCCATGCTCACCCCCTCCCCCTCTGCCCCCCTCTCCCTCACTCTCTCTCTCTCTCTCTCTCTCTCTCTTTCTACATCGTTTTTGGTTCATTTATCACTTTGGTTGCCACCCTGAACATAAGGTGGGTCATTAGAACATGAATGATTTCAGCCATGCATGCTCAAGGTCTCTGGATCTGTGTAACATTCTTTACAGCGACATGGGTGGGTGTATTATGTTTATCCGATTTTTTCCCCAAAGCAACGTACTGTAGGAGTGTGACGAATCTTTGTAGCCAGAGATCTACTGAACTCTCATCCCCTCCCTTTCTCTCTCTCTCTCTCTCTCTCTCTCTCTCTCTCTCTCTATTTCTCTTGCTCATCGTCCTCCTATTTATCCATTTCTTGTCAGTTCCTCCTCCCCTCTCTTTCTCCCTTTCTCTAGCTATCTCTCTCATTTTCTCTCACTCTCTATCCATCCCTTCCTCTGTAAATTCTTCTCTCTTCCTCTTTTTCTACACCATCTCCCATCGCGCTCGGCGATAGTGGCGCAATGAACAGCGCCCGCTTGTAACGCACTTTCACTTGAGCTATGTCGAACATTATCAATTATGGATAATATACGGAAGGGTTACGGAACCCATAGTCAGGTTAAAGACAAATAACACGAGTTTTTATACGGATAAATGTTCTTATTGGAGACCCTAAACATAAACACTTGCATGTTGTTTTTTCATATTTTTTTTCTTCATTTTATACTTCCCAACATCATGTAAGTTAAAAGCACTAAGGCAAAAAGAAATTGTCAATTACTTATTTCCTTTATTCTATTTTGAAAAGTTTGGCGGTTCTGACGTCTATTTTCACAAAGTATTTTGGTGTTACATTATTAATTTTTAAGGACTATATTCATTGAAAGAAAACTCAAAGACTCTTCTTTTCAAAGTTTTACACTGTACCTTTAAGAGCTGTGAGATGTATCAAACAACAACAAAGAAGGAGGAGAATAAAAAGAGGGCAACCCTTTTACGAAAATAACAGTTACAATCCTGTTCCGTTAAGCACCCGAAAGTCTATTACCTCGCATTGTTCCCTTATTTTTCGCACGGTCGAACACTTTGAAAAGACTTATCTGAACTTGGTCTATACCAAAGCCGTTGAATAATCAACCTTACCCACAAATTTGAAGGCAACACAAGTAGATATAGAGCTTAAAGAACGACCATTTTATGGTCATTACAAAGGATAAAGGTGTGGGGAGAACGAGAAGGCGGGGCAAGGGGGCTTTCTTGAAAGAGATGTAAGAATACTCATTACCTGCTTCAAAAGAAGATAAATCCTTGTGACCGACTAAGACCTTATGGGAAGTCAGCAAGTCGATAATAACCTTAAAAGAGGGGGGAGGGGGTTGCTTTGAAATGTGGAAATAATTCTGGCTGCATGTTTGTTGGCTATTTTGATGGATTAAGGTCATAGCATAGAGATGGAATGCAGTGCTGTCGCTCAAGGAGGTGATTGTTGGTGTACAATCCTTCTTTCAAAATCTATTTCGGCAAATCTTCAAATTAATTAAAAAAACGAGGACCTGCTTTTATATAGTTTTATGTTTCTTCTTATGGGGGAGCTTCTAAGATAAGATTTGTAAACTTGTCGGTAGACTCCAAAAACGTTGGCTTATATATATATATATATATATATTATTTGCGGCTAGGAATAGGAGGGGGAAAAGTAATGCATGGTTGATATATTGTTCGGGTATAATTTGCATTTTGTTGATTCACTTTAGATTGCTGAGGAAGTAAAATAGAGCAGCAAGTATAGAATAAGATTGAAAGTTCATCTTTTCCTTCGTTTACAACCTAATCAATACTGGACAAATATGTCTCTTTGTTACTCTCTCTATTTTGCTCTCCCGTTTTACTTCTTACTCGTCTTTTCTAAACCAAATTACATGATATTATTAATGGGAATATTTGTGTTGTATTTATATATATATATTGAATTATATAAATTGCTAATATTGTGAACTGTCGATAGAAAGTGAACTAAATAATTGATGACAATTCATTGTCTTTGTTAATTATATTGTATTTAAACTAGTATTATTTGAAACAATTGTGAAAGAAATATGGTATTTTTTTGTTTGTAAATTGTCATGCTATTCAGCCCAGGCTGCGAAATGATAATATTAATAAACTGAACTTATATGCTTCATTATTATTATATTTTTTTAAAGCATAAACATTGCCCGACAATTTAGAGAAAATTTAGCCGTGTTTCTTTCTAAAATCTACAGAGCACTCTCAAATCTTCCTTATCTATTACATTGTATCCAATTATAGTTTATTTATTCTATGTACTTGTCAATTTTCTCACCATTTTCGTTTTCAAAATTTCTTCTATACTTTATTTTTCTTGAATTCTAATAAACCTTTCTTACCAATTCAAAAGTCTAGTTTATTTATTCTTCTTTCGTCCCTGTTTATTTACCCTTCTCTACTTTCTAAGTTTTCCTACTTTGTATTCCTCCTTTACTCTCATCCCGTTCTTTTCTTTATTTACGACACTGTCCCTTTTCCAATATTACAAGTTGTCTAGTATTTTTTCTGTTTCATTCTTTGAAATTTCCGAGAATTTATTTGGACAACGTTACAGTTGGACAAACTCTGCTTTTCTTGACATGTCCTCGTTTTGATGGCAATGGTTCACAGTCGAGCTGATTATAATGCTGGATCTGACTTTTGAATGAAATTGTTTTCCTGAGATTAGATTTGAATTTTACCCTTTTTTAGGAAGAAGTATGGGTCATGACCGTCCATCAAAATGATGTTACAGTAATATTTCCTAACAGAAAAAATATATGGGAGAATGTTGATTAGTCATGACAAGAATTAAAGAACTTCATATCTCTTAACGCCCGGTGCTGTGTGAGTATATACATTTCTATCGTTGTTAATGTTGTAAAACTGTGCCATTTTGACAAATCCGTAAGAGCTTCAAAGCAATCGTTGCTATTTGCAAATCCTATCAAAATCTACGAAGCTTCAACAAGTTGCGGGGCAATGACCTAGACCTCCTATGCTTTGACAGTTAAGTCTGTAATTAATGCTGTAATTATGTTTATGTTTGAGAAACTACTAATGAATCTCTTTCAGAACACTGCGATTAAATCAGTACTTATTGTATTCACTTCCTGGCTATTATTAGAATTCAGTAGTATGTCTACACCTCGTACACCCACAATGTTTGATATAGTTCTTACAGTATCAGACGACACAATAATAAGAACTTCGTGTGAGGGGCTTTGGTTCCAATACCTATCATGCCTATAATGATGCAATACTTACATCGTATACAGATTCAGAATATTATGATCAATTTACACAGGTTTTTCAATATTTAATAATTTGTATGCCGATCCCAAATTTGTACTTCTCATTTTGATATTTGAATTGATGAAGTTGCCAAAATTTGGAGATATAATTATATATGCATATGGATTGGTATAAATCCATTTAGTGCCACCTTATAATAATAATAATAATAGCTCGTTCTTATATAGCGCTTTTCAGGACCGGAGGCCCTCACAAAGCGCTTTACAGATAAGTATATTATTACCCCGGTCATTGGATTCAGGCTTACCTGCACACAATGTATGCACATTCTCCACTCCCTAGGGAGCATTCCAGTCAGGCGCCATTTTTACATGCGCACACTTATGAATTAAACTATACATGTGAAAGTGTTTTTACTTATTTGATGCAGAAATACTTATTTCATCCCCGCTA